AAAACAATTCTTTCCCATGAGCAGAATTATGTTTGGCTTATAAATACCAAATCAGTATTGCCACTGACCTAGCAGGAATAGAAAATGTGGCCTGACATGTATGTAGTAGGAAAGTCTTCACTTCTCATTTCTGCAGCATATTAAATACTGAAAACTTTAAAAACAGATCAACAAAGTCTCAGCTGCAGAGCAAACTAGCTGTAGAATTGCACCATTGTCCTGGGCCTGAGCAGGAATGCAGCCAATGTCAAGCAGGACATTTTCAACCTTGCAGCAAAAGCTGCAGCTCCACCATACAGTCATGCTAATCTTAATTCATGCAGAAACAAGAAACTTAATGCACTAGACATAAGATCATGTTATCACATATCATTATTCAAACTACTAATGAATAGAAAAAGAAAAGACTGTGTCTTCGAATACTTCCTTATGATGTAAAAGATCAAGTGAATTATGCGTAGAGGATGCTACTAGTCCCTACACCACTGCCACTCTGTTCTTCAATGAATATACGCCAAGAACTGCCAAAAGCCACACCAAAGGCTAACTGTAGATAATGAACACTTGGATCATGTTTGCTTACCTAGTTAAAGCCTTGGTTCATGAAGTGACTAACAGCTGCACTATCTTGGGGGTAGGGGATAAAACCAAGCATTCCCTGTTTGCTGCAGTTACCAGGCCCAGCCTTACTTGTGCTAACCTTAGAAGCTCCGGTGAGGTGGTCCCTACCCTTAACTCACAGGGGTAGATTTTATTTCTTCAACTACCTACTGAGTGCCACACAGAGCTCAACCTCATAGGAGAGTGAACACTAGAGTAGCCAAAGCAACGGAGCCCTGGAAAAGGTCCTGGCTTCATACTTTCAGGTCAGGTTTTAGTCTATCTACATCTAGTTTCCAAGACACCATACTGGTCAGTGGTCATTTTAGAAAACTGAAAAGTAATCATTCATTCTCATCTGAGGAATAGAATAAGGTTTACAACACACACACACACACACACACACACACACACACACACACACACACACACACACACGGAGAGAGGAGAGAGAGCTCTACTGCCCTGCCAAACAGAACATCTACACCCAGACATTTAATCAAATTTTGTTTTTCTCCTGCCCCACTTCAACTTCCCCTCTGTACAAAGAGGGAAAGGGCAGAGATAATTTCGCAATTTATATAAACACATGGCAATTCAATTTGCAGTGGGCAAGTTTTTATCAATAATCTCTTTCATACTCTTGAGAAAACACTTATGTGCATTAAGTGTAAGGATGGCTTAAATGCATAGTAGAGAATTATGAATTCATACTTTTAGGGCGGTAACACACAACTGGCATAGTTTATGCACTCTTTCCCCAAACCATTCCACAGCTGATTTCTTTTTGTGGCAAGCACCTCAGAGAAGGACCATCAGAACATGGATCCTACTACTACTCTGCTGCCATATCTTACCTTGTTATGTCCTTGCCTACCTCTTCATCAAATTCAGAGCTGCCAAGTCATTAGAACAGCCTTTTGAGTGTCCATTCATCCCCATGCTTACCCCTCGCCCATGAACTTTCTGGCAAACCTCAGGAGGTTAAACCGACTTGTTTTGGACTCTATACTTGTTACCCACCTCTCAACTTAAGACCACTGTGATGCTTTTATATCTAGTGTCTCCTTAAATCTCACTAACACATTCATAGCTACCTCCAGAGAGTCCAAGTTTTTGTGTCTGAGAGCTCAAATACATCTGCCCCAAGCAGCAGGAAACTACAGGAAAACACTGCTCCTGTACACACACCTAGATGCCTCCTGTCTCCTCACTCAGCACTTTGGACTTGTCTCAGACTACAAGTTCTCTTATCCCACCCTTTTTGTCTGCTTGGTGACCTCACCCAGGACTCTTGGTAGCTCTTGTATGCCAACAACCTCCCCAAAGTCCAGGCCAGCCTCAATCTCTCCTGAGCTCTCAATGCTGTTCGCTCAGCACCCCCAATTACCCAATAAAGACATCAAAATCTCAAAATCAATTATCCCATAGATTTGGGTGGGTGACTCAGCAGATAAAAGTGCAGGGTGGGCAAGGATGAGAACCTGAGTTCAGATCCCCAATGTTCATGTAAAAGCTAGGGATGGTTGCATATATGTCATCCTAGAACTGATGATATATAGATAGGTAGACCCTAGGCATTCATAGGCCAGCTAGCCTAGCCCAGCCAGTCTAGCACACAAATCAATAGTTTAATACCTACACTTTTTAGCCTGTACTGGTAATTAACTCCAAATATGTGCCACATGTTGTATCAAATACAGAGGATAAAATAAGAGGAAATCAGATCTGGAGCATATAACTAGTATATTTTAATGCCGTAGTTCTCAACCTCTGTAATGCTGTAACACTTTAATACAGTTCCTCATGGTGTGGTGACCCCTGACCATAAAATTATTTCATTGTTACTTCATAAGTGTAATTTTGTTGCTGTTATGAATTGTAATGTAAATATCTGTGTTTTCTGATGGTCTTAGGTGACCTGTGTGAAGTGTTAGACATTCAACTCCAGGGGTCTCCACCCAAAGATTGAGAATTTTAATGGCTTTCTCTGCTACCTTCTTTCACCTGATGGCTGCTCTTCTACTTACTGCTCAGCTTCATCAACATCAGATCCTAAGGATTAAGTGGGATATAAATAATATTTAATGAATATGGCCTCCAAATGCACAAAGCATTATGACTGGGCAGCAGAGGGAACTGTAAAGCAAGTTTAAGACCCTCTGCTTCCTGCAAGGCTGACCAACTGATTAAACTGGAGTAATTGTGGAGAATGAAGTGCTACGGGTACACAGCCCAGTAATTTTATTTTTCTTGGGCTATTTTGGCTCCCTCTCCCCAAAGTTACTCCTTTTTCACCTCTAATCTGACCAAATATACTGTGACTAAAAGATGAAACATTTTGATAGTATTAAATTAAAAAGGATAGTTTCAGCCTGCTGGTGGTGGTGGTGGTGCATTCCTTTAATCTCAACACTTGGGAAGCAGATTGATCTCTCTAAGTCTGAGGCCAGACTTGTCTAAAGAGCAAGTTCTAGGACAGCCAGGGCTACACAGGGAAACAAGCCCTGCCTTGAAATAGAAAATGAAACAGACAAAAAGTGAAAAAACAATATCTTAGTTTTCACCAACCAAAGACAAAAAATACCAATGGACAGCATTTGAGCTCTATAGCTGAAATTTCCTAACTTATTTTTTTAACCAGTGTACTTAATGTTTCCATCAATGTATTTGAAAAATGTCTTAACTTATGACTTTCTTCTGTTACTATAAAACTTCAGCAGTCTATTACCATTTTGGGTGATCCTGGTCATAGTAACTCCTACTTTGTCAGGATAAGCTATTCCCTTTAAGTTGAGGCTGTGCTTGTTGAATCATTACTATCAATAACAATACCCAATGTACAGCGGTTATATGCCAGACACTATTCTAAGAACTTAATTTGGACTGGGAATGCAGACCAATGATAGTATTAACTTAGTATGTATAAGGGCAAAGTTGAATGTCCAGGTTTTCAAAACACATTTATTATGCAGGTACATTAATAGATAATAAGTAGGTAGGACTTCATTGTGTCAATAAGGAAGCTGACTCAAAGTTATAATAATAAGAGTTTACCCAAAGCCATACAAATTGTAAGAGACTGTGCATGTGTTCTCACTCTAGCTCCACAAATTATTCTATACCTGTATGTCCTACACTGCTCAGTTGGACAAGAACATGAGACTAGATTAGACCATGGGCTTAGGGGAAAACCACATACCACTGTTCTGCTAAGGGAGCATGGCAATAAAACGACTCCTAATGACATTCTGTTATATACCCACACACAGAGTCTTGCTCAGCCATTATCAGAGAAGCTTTCTCTTGTAAAAGGTGGGAACTGATAGATACAAAGACCCACAACTAGGCCATGTGCAGAGTGAGAGAACTTGGAATATTCAGTTCCAAATGGAATGTCTTCCTCAAGTCACTTCCCTTAGAGCTCAGGGAGCTATGCAGAAGAAGAGACAAAAAGATTATAAGAACCAGAGGGAAGGATGACACAAAAGAAACTGTACCTTCCAGACACAACAGGACAGACCATCGGAGACTGTTGCAGCATTTGCAGGGCCAGATGGGGTGCCAGTGCTGAACATTAGAACTGCACACAATCTCCTATCCCTAATCAAGAAGCTTTCTCCAACTGACAACTGTTTCCAAAGGAAAAATTAACTCTCCAATGGAGTCTCACTTGAATACACCGCATTTAAGGGTAGCCCCATGCCCATCAGGAGGTGACTCACACAAAAAGAACTCAATGGTGTTTTCTAGTTGTGCATTATATTGCTTTGTTTAGACCTTTTTTTTTTTTTTTTTTTTTTCCTGGGCTTTGGCCTGTATATTAATTAGGTTTTCTACCTTTGTGCTTTTATGGGCCTCCTGTTTTGTTTATTTTTGTTTTGTTTTTAACCTACCTAAATAAAGAGAGAAAAAGAGCATGGGGTTGGATGGGTGGGAAGGATCTGAGAGGAGATTGGGGTGTGTCTGACCAGAATATAGTATATGAATTTTCAGTAAAAATTAAAAATAAACTTTAAGAAATTAATTCCAGGAAAATACTGACCATTTTTCAAACTGTTACCCTCATTTTTCCAAGATTCCCACTCATCCTTGGGTATGCTGTACTGTATTTTAAGTTTCTATCTCTTCTCCTTTCCTCAATACTTGTCTATCAGTAGACTTCCTTAAGTATATAAGCAAAGTATGAAAGTATGTCCACAGGAGGAACATCACTGCCCTCACTATCTCCCACCATCTGATTAAAAGCTCCCACCTCACTATGAGCCAGATGAAGCAATGCTATGATGTCAGCATGCATCAGGTGTGTAAGCAGTAGCTAACATTAGAAGCTCCCCCTCTCTCGTGCGTGTGCACGCACGTGCACGCACACATACACACCCCAAAACTGATTCACTTACTCATGGCCAGCAACCTTTCTCCATGGAGGGCCAGGTCACATATGGGGCCTTGTAGAACATAACCTTCACTGCAAGTATTCAACCTGTGCTTCAGAAAAAAAATAGCCCATAAATGAACAAGTGTGGATTTGTTGTAATAAAATTTTATTTATAAAAGCAGATAACCAGCAGAGTCGTTTGCCATGATCTACACTAAACCCCCTAAGGTTTTTCCACACTAGCTAGGTCTCATTCCCTACACTGTGCTTGTTGAATTCCCTTTTACTACCCTACCCCTAACCCCTTCCAACACCTTTATTACAAATTTTAGAGTCTAAAGCCTCTGGTATCTCAGCATTACCTAGCCTGAACAGCTCAGCTGACATGCAGCTTCTGCATCTAAGCTTGATGCCACCTTCCACAGGAAGAATTTGTCTTAGAGATCTGTACCAGCCCAGCCCGAGCCCAGCAATCCATATAGGCCCAGGTAGTACTGTTCTTCTGACCTTCATATCCCTGGGTTATATCCTAGCACTCCATACACTTTCCCCAAACTTCTAAACCATTACTTAACACTTCCTCACCCTACCTAACCTACAAATGGAAATGTTGTTTTTACTGTCCTTGTGTTCTCTTAAGGATTACCATTTTAAATCACAAGGCTTTCTTTCTAGAGAAGCACATTTTATTCTAGAGGGGAAAAAAGGTAAATAGTTTGCCAAACTAAGACACTCTAGCCTTTTCACTGGAAGTCTAATGCTACAACTAAGGCCAATTTCAAACGACATTGAAATTATGAAAACAAGAAGTATACTTGGTGTAGACAGACACACAGTAAAAACTCTGTTGCCCTGTGATACCAACACCCAACATCTGGGAAAGCTCTTGTCAGTCTTGTCACTGTCTCTTCCAAATTGAAAGTATTTCCAAACAGGCTAACAACAGTGTAAAAGCCAACTTGTTCCTGGCTTACAATGGCTTCATTCTACAACATGGTAAAACAAGGCTGCATTCACAACAAGCAACCCAGACACCTGTCAACACCACAGACTCCCTGGAACCATTCTAGCTCCTTAAAGGAGCCTGCATGATCAGAAGTGCTAGTGTACAGAATGATCTCTCCATCGACAACTGCAGGACTCTGCTGAAGAAACAAAATAAAATCACATGGATTGTCAAAGCCTCAGTACCTTTGGAACACAACAGGAATAAGAATACCCACCCTGAACGGCTGCACAGGAGAACTGTTAAGACAGATCTATGGGGAAAGAGAAGACTTGAAATAGCACTGCCACATGGGGTCTACATGTGTGTCTCATCTGGAGTGATTTGTCCGATGAGGAAGCACGAATGGCATAATTAAAGAGCATTAATCACAAAGGGTGGCAACATGAATAGGATTGAAGGCATCTAGGGACTACAGTACCTAGGTCATGTGTCTGCATTCCCGGAATCTATTGTAGACTCCATTATTTGTGGTGCGGTTGTGTGAAGTCTCACATCTATCTATTCAGAGACAATGGCTGTTCCTCAATTGTTCTCAAACCCCTGTGTTTAAAAGGCTGTTGTCACTAGTGTGACCTGTGTTGCAGAAATTCCAGCACTTGCTCCGAGGTCCTAGACTCGTGAGGAGGAAGGTCTGGAGTAAGTGAATGTAGACCCCATTGGTTTTGTGAATGTCACTTACAAGCAGACAGACCCTTTCCCTGTGTCCTTCTCTCCATGTTTGCTTCTATTAATCAGAGTTGAACAGCTGAAACAGACCAGGTAAAATTTCCAGCAAGTCTGACCTGGGATCTGGAGGTCAAGACTGTGTATGAATGTACAAAGAACTTGGAATACATGGAGTACAAATGCCATTTCCCAAGAAAAATCTCAAAGTCTGTAAATTAATTTTTAAGCCGTGTATAGGAAAGGGGATGCTGAGACCAGGACAAGCAGATTTCAGAATGGCTCTGCCCTTCCCTAGGAACTAAGTTCACTATCAGCTCTTCTAATGTTGGTGTGAAATACCGTGGGAAACAGGAAGTAACTCTATTTAGTTTTTCAAAATTGGTTTAAGAAAACACAAAGGAATTCCATTCTTTTTAATCTATGAAGAGCATGTTATTTATTAAAGAGTCTCTTACTGGCAATTACTAAATAATTCTAAAATTCTAAACTCTCAAAAGTAAAAATAGGTATTTTATAAATCTAAATGCCTGTTAGGAAGGGAGGGAGGAGGACCCCAAGTTCAATACTATACTTCTTGTTTGGATTTTGAGAACTGGATGGAGCTAGAATTATCTGAAAAGAGACTCAGCTAAGAAAATGCTCCCATCCAGTGCCTGTAGGCAAGTCTCTAGAGCATTTTCTTGATTAATGGTTGATGTATGAGGGCCCAGATCATTGGACACAGTGCAATCCCTGGACAAGATGGCCCTGAGGAGTATGAAGCAAACTGAGCAAGCCATGAGGAACAAGCCAGTAGGAATTCTTCATGGCTTCTGCTTTAGTTCTTGCCTTGAATTCCTGATCTGACTTTCCCTCAGTGATGGAGTATCAACTGCAAGTTTTAAGAAATAAACCCTGTCCTCCCCAGGTTGCTTTTGGTCACTGTGTTTTATCACAGCAACAGGAAGTTACCTAGAGCAGGCCATCAACCCACCTGCTACCATGAAGACTCGCAGGGCTGTAGATGTGAGTGGTAATGTATGCACAGGCCTCACACAGCAGTCTCGTCCAAACTACTAATAGTATTTTGCCATAGCTCAGATGAATTAAGGATCAGATAAACCACAGAAAACCAAGTGACCAGCATGCTGTATGCCACGCATAATGCCTGGTCTCCTTAGAGTTTCAGATGGTTGTGAGTCACTCTGTGTGTGCTAGATAGAAATCAAGCTTGAGAGCTCTAGAGCAAAAAGTGCTCTTAACTTACTGAGACATCTCTCTAGCCCTTTCTTTGTTATTTGTAATAAACACCAACACAACATCATACCGGCTCATCTTGAAATTCTTGATGTAGTGTAACCAAGCATGTGTTTTTCCTAAATGGTATATGGGAGTCTCTAACAAAGAACTCCCAAGCTCCTTTGGGTCAGTTTTGGGCAGGAGCAGATCATTTCTCTAAGTGAAATGATATATCAATACATATTCACTATCAGACAGCTTAATAAGAGAAATTTAAAGAAGACACACTTAAATATCACAATCTTGTGCACAATGTGTCTGTTCTGTTATCCTTAACTGGGTGGTAGAAAATTATGGAAAAAGTCAATGTAAAACTGAATCACACACATTAAGACTTACTGTGCCTCCGAACAGACTTCAAGAGTCCATTCCCCATGGAAGGATACTCCCTTAGCCAGGAGACATGGGAGAGGGCCTAGGCCCTACCCCAAATGACTTGACAGATTTTGATGATCCCTCATAGAAGGCTTTACCCCCTCCTGAGGAGTGGATGAGGGATGGGACTGGGGGGGGGGTCAGTGGAGGTAGAGGGAACTGGGATTGATCTGTAAAAAAATTGTTTCTAATTTAAATAAGATTTATAAAAACAATTTACTGTGCCACCACCACTCTTAGATTATTCCAGAAAAATCTCTGCTAATCATTCCAAAAGACTTCTGAGGAAACTATTACTTTTCTTATTTTATGAATTAGGAAACTGAAGCAAACAAGAAATGAAACAACCCAGCTATTCTGAATCAAGTCTGATCTTCTCTCCTAGCCTCAAATCAGTATTTGCTTATTTTCATAACAATCATGTCTCAAGGATCGGACACTAAAAAAACCACTGACACACCAACAAGATTCTTATACTGACATTCTTAGTACAATATGACCTCTTATTCTACACTGGCACCTTCCTCAACAGGAGATAATACACTGTATTTGTTCCCAGACACGGTGTTAAAAACTTATTTCCAACAAATCAGTGTGCATACACTATTGTCTGTTTCACACATGTAACACTGGCTGAGTAACTCTAAAGACAATGCCCTGTGAGTGGTGCCAAGGCATAACCAGTGTGGGTGCTGTGAAAGCCAAGTCCAGACACCTCTGTTTAAACATGCTTTTACATCCTACATAGGTTCTGCAGTAAGAGCACATGTCACAACACAAAAGAAAGCATTATCTATGTAGTGTTCAGCAGCTACTTTGGAGAGAATACAACAGTTAGATGAATGGACAGATGATGGGAGATGTCATTCTGTAAATATGTTCTCTTACTGGTTAATGAATAAAGTACTGTTGGCAAATGGGAAGGCAAGATAGGCAGGAATAGGAGACAAGAAGGATTCTGGTAGTTATAGTTGGAGAGTCTGGAGAGTCAAGATGTAGGGACTTGAGATAAGAGGTCAAGACAATTAGATTGATAGAAATGGGTTAATAGTTAAGATAGAGCTAGCCAATAAGAAACACTTACATAACAGGCCAACAGCTTTATATCTAATACAGCATCTCTGTGTGTTATCTGGGGGCTGATGTAGCCATGGGAACAGGCTGGCAGGAAAATTGCTCGTAACAGACAGATAGAAGTTATATCTACTTCTATCTCTCACCTACACAAAGTGGACAGTAGGGTAGAGGGAAGAGGGACTGGAGAGGGGACCTGGCGCTTTTGTGCAGGAAGAATTTGGTTCAGGGTCAAGGATGGGAAAATCCAGTTTTCCTTCCCTTTTAGTAATACATTCATATTATGAAAAATTGTAAAGCAGCAAAATAAAATCCCTCTAGTCATACCACACATTTTGGTTTTACTAACTAGTTTTCCAAAACTGTAATTTTATTACTTTTTTGCTGTCTAAAGGATACTAACTAAATTGTATCTACTGTCATTAATAAAATTTTAAATATTTAACTATTCCATTTTTATTTGTGAGTGTATGTGTGGTGGGAGTACCTGTGCCATGGGACAGGTGTAGAGATCAGAAGACAACGTATGAGAGTCAGTTCTCTTTCCACTGTGTAATGGTCCAAGGGAGGCTACTCAAGCCATCAATCAATCAGACTTGGCAGCAAATGTTTTTACCTGAGGAGCTGTCTTGCCAGTCTAATAAGAAAGCTCTATAAAACATGGAAATACATTGTGGAGACAGATATCCTGTAACTGAAATGT